TGAATAAAAAAATTCATTTCATCACGTGTCAATTCCAAGTGATAGTTGAATTCGTGCTCATCGAGTATACCTGAGTTCCAGGCTTCGATGCAACATGTGGACGAATCATCGGAATGGAACTTTACGTGTTTACCAGAAGTTCCATGCAAACTCTTGTACTTGTTGGAAAATTCCATGAATCGACTAATACTATGCCTCCGTGTATATGGCCCTTCATAATAGAATTTGCCCACTTCACGCATAATCCATAGACGACGATTATCTATTGACCACAACTTATTATAATGTTCGTACACCCGAATTGGTGGCAGTTCTGCAATACACATCAAACCAAACTTGAGGACAAAGTAAGTGTCGAAAACATCCATACTTGGACTATTGTTTGAGAAACATGAATGTATGTGTGTTTGTGTGAAATGTATGCGAGAAGTTTCATTGGTTTCTAGTTTCCGAGGTGAATCATTAAGAAATAAAGCGAGACGCTTAGCACGACGTTCTTGAGCAGTCAACATTCTGAAAATGTTTGGTTTCGTCTTTTTCTTTTAATACATTAACGTAGAGGTGAGCACTGGGTTTTTTCCCACTGCACTCAACGGCTGCTTCTCATTTGCGAACACAAAGAAAATAAATTTTAAGTGCATTAAAATTTTTAAAATTTCGTTTGATTTAAATTTGATAATTTTATCAATTTGTTGTAAAACGATTAAAATTTATATTTAACTTTTAAAAATTCGATTACTGTGAGCGAATATTTGAAAGTAAATTGTTTTAAAAGATTTTTTATAAAAATTTTTTTTTACGAAGCATGCTGCAATTTGAAGAGGTCGTTAGTTTCTTGACAATAAAAAATTTTTAAGACTGACAGTTGCTGCAGTTTGTAGAGGGCACAAGTTTTTGATTGGAGAAATTTTTTAAATGTAGCATATCTGTAATTTGTAGAGGACGCTAGCTTTTAGTTGAATTAAATTTTTTCTGTGAACCTAACTCTGAAGAATTTTAACGGAAGTCAAAAAAAGAATGTACTCTCTGTTTTATTTGTGATTGATAAATTAATACTCATAGTGCACGAGCAAAGTTCGTCGATTTTGGCTGAACTAAGAACAATTTTAGTTGAACACAAAGCGAGTTTTTGAAGAGATAGTATCATAATTTTTAGTGATAACTTGATATTTCTTCCGAATGTGATGTGAGCCGAGAGAGTTGTGCTCGTTCAGAGAAGACTGTCATTAACATCTATATTTCTGAGCTCTCACTTTTAGAATGTCATTTTCTGTATGTTTGATTTTTGTGTATAAGTGCTTTTGCACCCCAATCAGTGATCTCCGTTCAATGATCGATTCCATTTTACAATCATAATTCTATAGTCCATTCAAAATCAAAAACAGCTGATGACATTTATAGTAACAATTATGTCTGACGAACTCTATAAATTGCAGTAATTACAAAGAAAAGACGATCTATTGTAGTTTAGCGATCTCTGTAAGTTTCAAGAAGTTTAAAAATCTAACTGAAATTTTAATTTGTTTTTAAAATTGTTATCAGTAATTTTTTTGAAATTTGAAAACCGAAAATTTAAAACCTAAAATTATTTCAAATTTGAATAAATTAAATTTAAAAAACAACTGCAATTGAATTTAACAGATTTTTATTTCGATTATGTTCGCAAACGAAAGGACACGAAAAGTCAGCTGTTATAGGCAATTTTTTTTCACAAAAACAGTTCATTATTCTGAAAAAAGAAAAAGCTTTCATTTATTTTACCGAGTTAAGTATATAGATTTAAGTATGACGTATAGTTTTCGCTGTGATTATATGTACAGAAGCCAGTTTATGCGTGCATGATAAGGAACAAGCAAAAGTGTAGCACTCAGTTCCTCATCCACATATGGATTCAACCAAAGTGATAGTCATTCCCACACTTACACTTACCCATTTATCATTTTCGTAATGTTTTTATCTCTGCTATACCAATACGAAGAAAGCGGAATTTCTAGGATAAGGTGGGTGTAGACGTCTAGTTTGCTCACCATTACTATCAGCCTCAGTCGACACAGAAATATGTGATGAATGTATATTACACGAAGGAATCAAAACTTACGCAATGCTTTTTATGAAACGTTTACTCTATCACGAAGTGTGATTCAAGAAACGAGATTTCTCTCTTGAAGTTACTCTAGGTTAAATGTGTTTCACATACTGATGGTTTAATGCGTGATTTGAATCTGTTTTAGACATGTCAAAAATTAAGCCTCCACTAACATCATATACACAGCTGACATAGGTGAATACAGTTAGTTCCGATTTAGAAAATACTCAAACATATGCTTTCGATTAACAAACCATCAGATCAGATTATTGGTGATATTGTGAAATGCATTAAAACTATATACACTGATGGTGAAAAATATGAACTGCTACAACTTATTTTAAAACGTTCTGCATTATCTGAAAAACAGCTTCAAACAACTGTAGAACTGAAAAATAATATCAGTAATGACAATTACAAAGCCAATGGTCTTGAAACACTTGTTCCGAGAGCAATTTATCATTTGATATTTGTGCATTATAATCGCACCTGTAGAAAATATACATTCTGACAGAGAGAAGTTTATTGTTTGCAAAGACTTGATGGACAATCGATATCTGGACGTAAAACATTATTTGATATTATTACCTGCAATCAAAGATATTGGTAACGATTCCTACAAGAGGAAATTATTATGTGAACTAGCACCGACGTTACCCAAAACTAATACTCAAATATCTAGAGCATAGATGGTTGCTGCTGACTCAATTTATTCATTAAAAGAGAAAGCAATAGCGACGTTGGCATTTCAATAAAAATCAAACTAGACTTGCATTCTTACAGTCGCTAAATCAAGTCCGCAATGGTTGAATCTAAACCCAGAAAAACTCATTAAATACTTCACTGCTTTTCGAGAGTGTGGATGTAGGCAACAGAATGTTTATCAACACTTACGTTCCATATCCACACCGAAAAGTTTTTTTTTAAACAGAAAATACAGATTCATAAATGAAGTCTTCAATTCGGACTGTCTCTGTTAAATCTGACGCTTGAAAATACGGAGACAAATGAATCAAAGACATTTAATCAAATTTTCAATTTATTAGACGAGTGAGTGGGTGAAGATTTCCGTCCAGTCAAAAGCATACTAACTAAATATATCAAAACACCTTGGCAGATCATCTTTTTTTTGGGTATTTTGAGAATTCTTTCATATGATATTTTCGAGAATTTCTGCAAAAAGTTAGAAACATAAGTATTATTAAGATTCATTGAGTTTTGCAAACATCGAATAGGCAAATGTCAACATAATATGTGCCCAATTTTTTTTATGCTATGTAAGTTATTTTTAAGTATGGCAATGCTTGTGGATAACGATACACGATATATTCACGATGTGAAAACGCAGTTCCTTGAACCGAATGAAAACCTTTTGGTGCTGAAGTTAATTTATTGTCTGCTTGATTCATTATCGATTCTTTGCCTAATGTGACCTTACTCTAAAAAATCACACGCGTTCGATTGATTAAATTTGCGGCTGTATAAGTGTGAGATTTTTGAGGATCATCAGCAAAATATGCACCATGCCCTATGCAATAACAATACAATAAATCTTCAAATGAACAAACCAATCATTTTATCTTTCCATCCATCAACAATTGACAAGTTTCAAAATTTCACACACCTCACATACTCACGCTATTTATTTATTTATGAAATACTCTAAGATATACTTACCCCATGCTCCCGTCGGACTGAAAAATCGATCATCAAAACCATCTTCTACTATACCATTGATTGCATCACCCTTGGTACTATGATAAAGTTTCCGTTCGTTTGGATTTCCTTTGCATTCTCTTGCAATAATTTTCTTCATCGCTTCATATGTATCTTCTAGAAGAGGATTTTTTATTTGATCGATCGATATAATTCGCACAGAAGTTCCGATAGTTTTGATCGTTCCTAATAATGCTTGATATAAAGTTGATGATGATGGTAACGGTACCAAAACGGCATTATATTTCACGTAAGGTCGTGGTATGTAATTAGTTGGTTCTCCTATGTGTGTCCATTGACGCTGTGTCATTCTCTGAATACGATCATTGACCAATGTATCAAGTGGACGAAGAACTTGAAAATGTTTATTTGTTACAGTAGTGGCCAAAAGTCCCGCCCCTAGGCGAAAACTATCTAAATAAGGACTGTTTGGTTTGAAACTGGTACCAAAGCAAGGACTTGCTGTGTCCTGATCGCATTCAAAAGCTCGAGTCCTGCTCCCTTTACTGATGTTGAGATATCAGGTCAACACCAAGGATTTTATGTTAATATTTTTGACGAAATTGTGTGATATTTCAAGGAAATGCTGATACTTTTTGATTCGCTGAAGTAAAGATAATATTTTTAATGTAGTAGCTAGCTTCGATGGTGATCTACCTCTGCTAGAAAGGTCACTTCGATTTATCGTACCCTGGTGATTTCCGAGAGCTGTCGGTCCTGAGATATAGAATGATATGAATCTCAACTTCTGTACAGGCTTTAGTTCTGAAAATTTTACCATAGATTCGCCCATAATTATACAGTCAACAATAAAATTTTCAGATCGAACGGTTGAGCCTAAATCGAGATTTGCATCAAATACTGGTAGGGTTGCAATATGCCAGTTCCGTGGGCAAGCAGTATATAGACCATAACTTAATAACTACATGTCAGTTTGTAATGAAAATTTTACAGAATAGAGACCAAGAGTCCAGCCTTCCAACGATGGGTCGAGCGGCATGTTATCTCTTTCCTACCTCAAGATAACACAATAAGAAAAAGTCCTTGGTGTTGACCTGATATCTCAGCCTCAGTAAGGGAGGCATGACTCGAACTCTTGCATGCGATCAGGACTCGTCAAGTCCTTTCTTTGGTACCAGTTTCAAACAAAACAGTCCATATTTAGATAGTTTTCGCCTAGGGGCGGGACTTTTGGCCACTACTGTATATTTTGGACGATGGTTTCAAGTTCGATTGAATATGGTGATTGTGTTATATCAATACGCATTCCTATTTCATGTGGATAATCTTTTTCTAATGAAAGATTACTAACATCGAGATCGATACGATCATGCGTCAATGCGACATGTGGTTCAATGAGATCCATTGTAAATGGACCGGTTGGTGCATTTTCGTCTATCAGTAAAACATATCTCCAATCTTCTCGTATTACTTCACATGTAAGATCAAATTTGTATAATTCATCCAGAAATTTATCAATATCAAAATAGCGATCCAAAGGTAAATGACAATCTAAATCCGCTGGCACGATATCTCTATTCATGTATGGAATCCGTTGACCCTTTGGAGTTGTTCTATATTGAATCCAACTTTTTGGATTGTTTGTACGTTGTTGTGGTTCTCGATAATGGCCAATGACCCAGTCTCGAACAAAACCGCCTTCTAATTTACAATGAAATTTACAAACAGCTATCCAAGCTACAGCTTCCATGCGTGTTTCACGTGTTGCACCTCGACCTTTAATACTGTTATAGACATCGACCATCGTTCGTTTACTATCCGTTATACAGGCAATACGCTTTTCGATGTCGGGATACTGTTTGCGCATTTTAGGGTGTAGAAGACGTGGTAGAACACCTGTAATAGAAAACAATCAATCATAATAGAGTTTCAGCAACGTTCTATTAGATATTTAGAGAAAACTACACCGGCGAAGTACTTTGCTATGCCACCATTAAAACAAAAGCTGACAGTTTTGTACATACCTGCATGTGGAGGTCGGATCACCACACAACGCTTTAACCACGACAAAAATGATCGAAACTCATTTTGACAATTTCGATTTTCAGAATCTCCTCCTTCAAGTGTTATTTCACAAGTTTTCGTAGTTGGATTAGCATTAATCGTTATTTTCACTTATTTCTGGGCTTCCCATCGCCATTTCATCGGATTAAATATGTATACCATTTTCGTTATGCTTTCCAGATTTCTGAATAAACTCTCATAATCTGGTGTACCTAGCTTACATTCGTTTCTTAATTCGAATTTCATGGAAGTTACAATCTCTTTTCGAAGGTTTAATTCAGTATTATAAACGATGCTTGATTTACCGGTTAATTTAATAGTTTGGTGACCAAATATCATATGGATCAAATTAGAAACCTTCGATTGAATGCGTGAAAATATATTCTTACTATGCAGATGAGTTAATTCCTCGTCACTAATTTTAATGTTTCGTTTTGTTGGACATTCAATCCATGAAGGTTTAATTTCGCCAATAAATGATAATATCGCTGTTGAACGAACAGCTGTCGAATAACGGACATCTCTTGCTAAAACAATAGATACAGGGGCTTCACTTATAGGGCGTACCAGAGTTGATTGAAGGTCTAAGATAGCTAGATCAGTTGTGTCCTTGTATCTGCCGTATTGATGAGTTTTTTCCTGCAAATCTTTCATGGAGACAAATACATTATCCGAATAGCCAGCTAACAATGATTTTGCTACATATTTCCAATTTCCAGATCGTATTTGGGCTTCTTGACGATAATTGCTTGACGAATGAAATGCTTTTTCGAGACTTGTGTAACGATCCAATGCTTGTTTAATAATATGTCTAATGCAGTCTAATCCTGTAGTTTTACAAAAGCGATCTAAATCAAATTGATCTGTTGGAACAGATTGTTTGACTAATAGAACATCATTCATAATATTCAACAATGTCATAAAATCACCACCCGAACTTTTCATATTCTGTGGTAAACTTTTTAAAACATTTGTTGTATTTAAAACGCTTAAAATAGATGAAAGACATATAAGATCACGTCCACAATGATAATTTTCAAGAGCAGCCAATACTGCTTTTGACATTGCCAATGAACCAAAATCAGGTAGTTTGGCTAGACATACGCCGTGTTGTGTAAACTCATTGCTAGGAGCTGCTTCCAAAATACCTGAAATACAGTGAACTTCAACATACCATAAAATTTGACTCTCTATACACTGAAAAAAAAAAGCTTGTCAGCGCAGCTCCTTTGGAGCTGAAATGTGGAACTCACGTATATCCTTTCAATTTGTTATTCTACTGCATTATTTGTAAACTAAAACATACTATTTTTTCAAATAATTATGAATGCATTAGAATACTGTATAGAATCTGAAGCCTTTTGTGCGCGGTTGTTGACGTCTGTAATGGTGCCCTGTCTGTAATGGGGGGCTGTCTGTAATGGGGGG